GACTTTCTAAATGGTAACCTTATATACACGATATGCAGGATTTTAGAATTTCCGGTATCCCTTACTCTATGCATTAATTTTGTTTAAATCTGCATTTACTTTAAGGCGGCAGATTTTGCACAACAATTTTTTCATTCACACAAACTTTTGGAGGGCCCCTCAGGACTTCGGAGCCCTGGGCCCGGGCCCAGGTGGCCCATGCCTAAAAACGGCACTGGCAGCCAGTCTGTCGCGTGGGTCCACTTCTGCGATTTTAAAGTTCATTTAAGGGTATTGTGCGAGTTCTGAATTTTGTGTAATACGAAAATATCACTCGAGAAAAATGTTTGACAATTTTTATACTAAAACATTTTTTTTCAATTTTGGTACAAAAAATGAAATGAAAAACAAATCCATACTTCGTTTTTGAAGATGGGAATAAAATAAACCATTAATGGACCAATAACGAAAAAACTAACAAATCGGTCGACATTCAGGGTGTACAGATTAAGTATCTCTGGGGAAATGGAGGTGACCAGAAAAACGTTTTTCCTCATAAAGTGAAGGTCCAAAATGTTTCATGTGGGAGGTCCTTAAAATTCCCAAAAGTTGCATTTTTTCAGAGATTTTGTTCAGTAACCAAAAAACCGACTTGCCTAGGTTTTTGGATAGGTCCTTTCTAATTTTGCAAAAATTTTCCACAAATTCCTACTCCATGTGATATAAAAATGTTTCAAAACCCACTCGTGGGTATTGCCGCGTAACACAAAGTATTGAAACGATGCATTGTCATCGAAAACACACAAATTGTCGAATCTGCATATTGAAGCACGTCCACGTCAAGAGAAAGAGAGGAGTTAAATAAGTAAAATAAAGTTTCAAAGAAATATTACCATACATAAGTGGCTATGAGCAGTCTGCGCAAAATATGGAGTTAAATGAAACTGATCGAAATGGGCAAATATAGACCATAATAGCTATATCAATTAGTGAAAACCCGAAGTCTCTAGGTGGCCCAGGGGCCGAGATCTCGATGGAACGGACGGACGGACAGACGGAAACCAGTGGCGGCTGGTCCTAAAGGGCACAGGGGCAGATCAATCAGGGAATTATTTCTATTTGACATACATTTACATTTTAATTAATATAATTTTTATAACGGATGGTATCAAACTTTCCTTCCGTCCTTTCGCAAGCAGATTGGATATAATAATCAATATGTAGGAAACACGAGCACTTTACCTCAACTTCGTTGTGTTACGCTAAAAACGTGGGGGCTAAGAGTCAAGTGGCCCCCGAGATTTGAGTGCAGTAACTATCCTGTACCACAAGGCTATTTTAGAATATTTCACCGGCACAGCACAATCCAATATGCATTGAGCACAACTCATTAAAGTTGTAGTGGAATTTGGACCTTAAAAAATCGAGAGGCGGAAAGTCAAATTAGGTCCCCCGCCCCGCATTTCAATTCGAAAAAAATTGATTTTCCAGATCAGCACAAATTAAAATCGGTCAGCACAATTTGGCACAACACTAGCACTATTTAAAAGTGTTTATGACACTTTTTTTTTAATTGCGGGGGTTAACTTGGCGGATCTGTCCGGATCTGTCTATTCGAGAGCCCGTTTGACAACCGCGCATATAGATCTCTTCCAGATTGGTAGATCCGAGGGGTGGGACACTTCTTAAATATGTGTACCCGAGTGTGTACCCGAGCATTAAATATGTTTAATAAATACATTTAAATCCATTAAATACATTAAATCCCATTAATTACATATAAATTCCATTAAATACATTTAAAAATTTAAAATTGGCAATTTCACGGGAAAATGTTTATTACAAAAGTACTTGCTGAATAATGGGCCGTTTTCAAAATAAGTATTATACGATGTCATCTAAGAAACTAAGACCTAACATCATTATTTAAATAGATCACCCGGTATATTTTAAACTAAAAAGGTAAGCACGAGGGTAAGCATATTAATGTAAAAATATCACACTAGAGATGACATTAAAAAAATACAAGTGATCCAAAGAATTTCAAAGATTAAAAAAAATTTAAAAAGGTTCAAATTTTTAATATTTTTAATTTTTTGAAAATTCTTTGGCATGTTTGAACCAATATTGAATTTTATTTTTAGAATAAAATATGAGGTTAGGTCCGATAACTTTTTTACCTGACCCCGTATACTTATTATCAAAATGGGAGATTATTCAACAATCATTATAAAGAAACTTTTGTAATAAACATTTGTCGGTATATGTTTTAACTAAGATATAGGGTCATCGTGAACTTGACAATTTTTTGATTTCCCCCCGTATGTCTTAGGCGAGCGCGAGGGCGAGCGAAAATGTTAAAATTTTGATTTTTCCATTTTAAGTTTGACCCTCGGATGACCCAAAAACAGCGCATAGCATCCTATATTACTTTTTTTATGGCACCAACAATTACCAACAATTTACCCTATAAAAGTTCCGAAAATGGGACACCCTGCACCTACTTATTATACCTATTTACCCACAATAGCCAATTTCACGAGCAATGGCGATGTTACTTTGATTCTAAACAGAAACTTTCACTCTATCGTTATTTCGTGTTCTTCTTCATTCTCTAATTACCTACGTTTATAACCATATTCGATAAAATGGCGAAAATTGATACTTTCAACCTGAAAGAACTTCAGGTTGTGTAAGTACTACATTTGTATTCATTCAACAACTTTATATGCGTTCAAAAATATAAGTACGCAATATCCTAACTAACTGTAAATACCTTTAAATATCTTTAAATACACTTAGACTTAAATACATTTAAATCCCATAAATATTTATAAACACCCATTAGTACAAGCATTGAATAAAAACACTATAAGAAGCCTAACGCTTATGGAAGAAAGCGCGACAAATCTCACAAATCCCCTTGCACCCGCATTGGTTGTGACCCCGAACTCTCTTTGCGGTAAATAGGAGGAAAGCAAATTCTCATTCTTCTCAGTTCAAGAATCGACTCTATTGACAGTGTTCCCATTATATTCTCAGTTCAAACTCTGTCGCGCTTTATTTCCACGGGGTTAGGCTTCTTATAGTGTTTTTATTCAATGGTACAAGTTAAATACAATAAATACGGCAAATCCAACTGTATTTACTCGTGTATATATATAAGTGTACTAATGTTTACGAGTGTTCCACCCCTCGGGTAGATCTAGATTAATCACTCCTAGTATATGATGTCGAGAGTAATCTCTAGTGAGAGAGAGCGAGATTTTATTATAAATAAAGATAATAGTAGGTATATGTAATGTAGTTCTCCATTATTTTGGGTTCGTTGTAAATTCTTAGGATATAAAAGGTTCCTTTTATATCCTAAGAATAATAGTAGGTATATTGAAAGACAAGTGTTACAATGCGACCTATTGTAATACGACTATCTTGTGGCACGAGTGGCGATGCGAAGCGTAGCCACGAGTGTCCGCAAGATAGGAGTATTACAATAAAGCATTGTAACACGCGTTTTTCATACTATTTTTTCTATTTCGGTGCTTTAATTTAATTAAAAAAAATCATTATCAGAAACTATAGGGAACATTAGAACTAACATGTTTTATGTTGGGAACACTTTTTATGCCGTTAAGTTTTAGGTTGGCAGCGTAGTAAGACTGACATTTTGAAGTTCAAACATGGAAGTACCCAACGAAGTATCTACTTGTATTAACTAGTAACTGCCAACTTAAGAGATGAGTTACCAAAAAAACGACTATAATCACTGTCTTTGTACAACTGTTTTGTACAAAATCATCATTGTGACACCGAAATAGAAAAAGAAATTTACTATACTCATATGTAATCAAGTAAGTATAATCAATGAATTAGGTAAAAAGTGTAAAGGAAAAATTTGTGCTTACAAACAAACAAAGTAAAAACGAATGACGCTAAGTTATTTACATGTTCGGGGGCTAAAATTGTGAAGGCGGCTCCCCAAAATTAATTTTTTCAGTATCTTTTTTTAGGGAAATGCGCAAACGAAAAATCGAGGTGTTGGTGTATCTACATGTGCAAACTAATGAAGTATATATATGAAGTATATATCTTCAATCGTTCAATCTCGCGTTCAATTAATTTAATGTTGGGGGGGCTAAAATCTTGAAGTGGGCCCCCCAAATTTGTTTTGTCAATATCTTTTCATAGAGAAATGTGAAAACGAAAACTCGAAGTGTGCCTAAATGTGCAAACGAAGAAAGTACCTATATTCACGTGACGTTTCATTATTTTAATGTGGGGCTAACTTCACGCGATTGGCAAAAACGCTTGTTATGAACATCATAATATAAACACCTCCATCGTGCTGTTCAAATGCTTTTGATAATAGGTATAAATCTTATAGTTTTTTTATGCAACTTCCACTAAATTATGTACTATCGTTTGATCATCTAGTCAGCAACTAATTAATGAAGAAAATAATGGGGTATTACATTTCAGATTACATTAAAAAAACATTATCTGCGGAAATGTTTTAAAATGTGCTAATACAAACATTTCGATGTTATGTAAATACCTACCTTCGCATAAACAGAGGCATAAACTAAGCAGAAAAGCATACGATCCAAATGTAATTTGCATATTTAGCAGAAATAAAGAAATAAAAATTGTGATAACCATATTGAAGAGGGCCGTTAAAAAAGAAATAGAAATTTAACAACCGTTGTTTGATAAAAACTTATTGACTTTGACGTTCTACAGGATATTGCACAATGCTATCAGCGTGAAGTGCTGAGGGACTTTTTAATTAACCGCCTTTTACTTTATAATATATGCAACATTGCAGGAGATAAGGTAATAATATATTTTCCAAGTAAAATAGAAATTCAACTCCAAACAAACAAGGCATAATGCTTTATCTATTACAACCTAAAGATAAAATATTCCAAGAAATCTACTCAAGATACACGGAACGTGCATTCTTATATTTCAAGAGTTGAGTGGTTTATTTACCGGAGTATTTAGGGCGACAACTATTTTACCTTTACACTCGTTGGCGTCTCGAGCGGTGGCTCTGCTCCATGGCCTATCAAAATGAAACGGTTTACAGCGTTCACAATCCCGTCCTGCCGTGTTATGTTTACATTCGCATGTTAATTGTCCATCGCGACCGGTGATACATTTACTCGCATGACCGTTACACTTGCATCGACCACCGACGGCGAAGTCGCTCACCGCGTATTGATGGGTCACCCTGTTATAAACGTTCATAATCCCATTACCGCCCATATCCACCGAAACCGAAACTTTCGTATCGTCGGCCTCGACGACCTGCATTTCGTTCACTAACTGCACGGACGGACCCTTCGTGGGATCGTCCTCGTCGTCGTCCTCCTGCTGCTGCTTGAACTCGTGCTCGTCAATTAAAATATCCAAATCGTCGGAGGGATCCTCGACGGGCATATGCAGCCGATTAAACACCACCTTTATATCGGTCGCGGTTACCCAATCTTGCAGAACGGGGGAATTATCGAAATCGAGCGCACTGGGACGCCCCTCGAGAGTACTAAAAGCGATTCTAGATTGGTGACCAAGGCCGAGACCTTCTCCACCGGTATAACGGTGGGCATCGGTGCATCGCGCCTCCTGCTCGTTAGCCTTAGTAATCGTCGCCCGATTAGGTCGACCGTACACCCTCCTGCACTGACTAGAATAAAATTGAAAGGGTTGCCAGGTTTTGCCGTAATCCATGCTTTTGTAAATCGCGATGGAATCCGGCTTTGGCGTGTGCGGGCAGAACTGCAAACTTACGTAGGTCAACTCGTACTTCTTGCCGAGGCTCAGTATGAGGGTTATATTGTCAGGTGGTGCGTGCACGCTAGTGGGTGGCTGTAACGGTTCGGACCTCCAACAGGTAACGTTATTCGGGTTGTTAATATCCGTTAGAAAAACGGATGGAAAGCGTTTTCGGGGGTTTTGATCGTCGCAAATGTTACACTGGGGCGCTCCGCCGACGTCGAGCACGTCGCAATACTGCACCGTGCCTTTTAGACCGCAGGTAGAAGAAGCGGCAATAGATCTACCGAAGGCGGCATTCACAAAATCCGGGATGCATCTACGCGGCCTGTCTTCGTCGTAACACGGATCGGCGGGCGTTTGTTGTGCCCCAAACATTTTTAAAAAGTTGTCGGATATCGCCAACGTACAAGAAACGGCAGATAGCCAAATGATGTATTGGAGCTTCATCTTATCCGGAAATTTCGAGTTATTCACAAACTTACACGGGATTTATTAATTTACATAATTACAGCGGCGGTGCGATTTCGATTAACGACACTTCGTAATTAGACCTGAACGAGAAACGGACACATTTCATTTAAGGGAAACGTCGCGATTGTTAAGAAATGGAGAGAAAGAATCAACAGAACCGGACCGTAAATGACGCGCGGCTCCGGAATGGAAGCTGCGTACATCAACTTTTCACAGCGGGCGCAGTTTGACTGGCGGGCCGCAGTCTAGCAAGTACCAAACGACGCCCCCTCTTATAGGGGCGCACCGCACCGCTATCATCAACATCTACTATATAAGACGACCGGATAATTGATCATTAAGTCAATTATAGCGAATTAGTATGTCTACTGCGATTATCTCAGATCTAATAATGATAAGAGGGAAGCAATATTACGATCTTAGCCTTCTCCGTGTCTTAAGAGGGTTTGTATTGGATAATATATTCGGCTTAGCTTCCGTAAACAAAAGTTTCCAATTTCAACTTGTAAGCAGCGTTTTTAAATGTTGAAGTTATTATAAACGTTTCCTTGTAATTTACATATTAAAGGGATGAAAACTACCCGGCACTACGCCATTCAGGGTTCTGGTGAACATAGGTTCAAAACGAACACACACGGGCGGCAAATGGTCTTTTACTGACTGGACTGGAATTTGTAAAACAGCACAAGATACCACAAGAATCATGTTTATGTTTCACACCAAGGCGATGCTTACACTCATGTTCAAAGGAGGCTCAAAAGTGATATACAATGAAAAAGTATCTACAGCCACAAATTCCATTGAGCTAGCCAAGATGGCAACAGAAATTATCATTTTTGCATTTTATTGTGAAAGTGTCTATTTTCACATATTCAAAATCCACCTATGTGAACTTGGCCCCCCAACTATAGAAAGCAATAATTTTTGTGATTGAAATAGATTGCGCTTCGTTTGCGCACCACTACATTTTGTTTGCGCGCTGCCGGTTTCAAAATTACGAAGGAATCAAATTTGGAGGGGCCAACTTCACAACTGCCCCCCAAGTTTACAAATTTGACATTTTTTTCTTGTGATCGTTTGCGCTTCGTTTGCGCATGTTTGCGCTCCCAACACCTTCGTTTGCTCCCCCGTCGTTTTCGAGTTATTCCAAATACAAAATTCCATACTGACCCCCCATTTTTCAAATTTGCCATTTTTTTCCATTTGATCGTTTGCGCTTCGTTTGCGCACAATTGCATTTTGTTTGCGCGCTGCCGCTTTCAAAATTACGAAGGAATCAAATTCGGGGAGGGGGGGGTCAACTTCACGACTGCCCCCCAAGTTTACAAATTTCACTTTTTTTCTTGTGATCGTATGCGCTTCGTTTGCGCATGTTTGCGCTCCCAATACCTTCGTTCGCGCCGCCGTCGTTTTTGAGTTACTCCAAATACAAAATTCCATACTGGCCCCCCATTTTTCAAATTGGCCATTTTTTTCTTCTAATCATTTGCGCCTCATCGCGCACAATAGGTTCAATCAATAGAATATGAATAGTGGAGATAGGTACTTCACCTCTCGCCGGTACCTGTACGTAGTGCCACCGAGGCGAGGTGCAATCAATAGAATATGAATAGTGGGGACGCGTCACCTCTCGCCTCTTTAGCCTAGCTCTGGTGGTACCTGTGCATAGTTCCGACGAAGCGAATGGCGCACTAGCTGCGCTCATCGACTGCTATTCGGGAGGTAGTGGGTTCGAATCCCGCAGCCGACTGCTCTATCTTGGGTTTTGTCGGGCCGGGTTCCTCAAGTACACGTTGCTTCGCATAATGCCGTTCCCATCCCTAACTTTCCCTATCCTTACATTCCATTGTTCTGGATGAAGAGGGTCTGACAAGCCTGAGTAGCCCACCTCCGGGGTCCATGTAGTCACGATGTCAGAGGAATGAAACACGATGACCTTTTAGCGCATTTTACAACGAAATTAGGTGCGCTGTTGCAGCCACTTTCTCTGTCCGTCCGCCTGTCCGTCTGTCCGAGGCTCATACAGTTTCCAAGATATTCGTTCTTTTTGCATTCGCTAGCATATGGCTCTGGCGCAGGCTCCGTTAACTTTTTGATTTTTAATTTTAACCACAGATGCTTTTAGTGAAAGCAAACTTTAACCGAAAAATAGACCGTTTTTATGACCTTTAGGGAAGTACTGATCAATGCATGGAAAATGCGCCTTTGGGCGAAAACTGACATTTTAAGAGGTTTGAATGAGAAGGCTAAGTCGCCCTTTAACCTTAATGGTAAATAAAGTGCAACAAATGATTGTGCATTCTAATGATATTTGTCATTCTTATTGAAAATGAGACGCGGAGCGCAAAATAAAATGAAATTCGGAACAGACTACAATGGTGTTTCCATAGAACCGACTATGTATGCTATTTTCACGCAAAATGAAAGTGAATCAGTCGAACTTTGCGGAAAAAAGCGTCAAATAATCAAATTTGAACAATTATGGAATTTTGTATTTGGAATAACTGGAAAACGGCGGGGGTGGAAACGAAGGTATTGGGAGCGCAAAGTAAGCGCAAACGATCACAAGAAAAAAAATGTCAAATTTGTAAACATGGGGGGCAATCGTGAAGTTGGGTCCCCCAAATTTGATTCCTTCGTAATTTTGAAACCGGGAGCGCGCAAACAAAATGCAATTGTGCGCAAACGAAGCGCAATCCATTTCAATCACGAAAATGATTGCTTTCTAAAGTTGGGGGGCCAAGTTCACACAGGTTCAAAATCCCCATTAATCCCGGCCCAGAAAATCGGTCAAAATCCAAGATGGCGGCTGAATGTATGAATGAATGAAGTATTTTTCATGTGGTTCTCCACCTTCGGTGTCGCATTTTTATTAGTTGACAGTTTTTCTCGTCTAATTGCTAGGCAATAGATTTTCATTACCTAAACAACCCAAATTTGTTCGGTAAAATACAAACCTCTTGTGCAATTATAAGTGAAAAATTGATAATAGACTAGACAGACACCTATGTCATTTGGCAAACATTATTACATATTATATTTATATACTAATAGACTAAATTGTGTTTTTTAATCCCTGATTCGGATGTAACTACAGAGGTCCAAATTGGACGTTTTCTTATGAAAAACACCCCTTATTTTAAGAGATAGACAAAAATGGACATAGTTGTCTGGAGTTCAAAAGTTCTTCAAAGACAAAACCACTGATGCAAACAGAATTCAGCTCGAAATCGACTAAATGAGAGAACTATTAATTTTAGGCGAAAAGTTGTAGGCAATAAAAAATTAACAACTTTTCTATCTACACTTTTTTCACCTCAAATTTTCCGAGAAAAACCGGAAACACTTTTTTTCGTTTTCTATCTTAATTTTTGCGGGAAAAGTCTTAAAGAAACAATTTTTTGGCCCCTAAAGTGTGACGGTTTCCTAGATATTCACGATTTTCGAAAAACAGATTTATATTTTCATAATCAAAATTAAAAAATATCATTCCATAGAAAAATTTCGAGAAAAGATCGCCGTTTGTTATTAGGTTGGATGTATGATTGAAAAAATGTAGTGTGTTTGGTAGTTGATAATAGTTACACTATGATGGTAATTAGTTATTTACCTAACAAGTTCGGTAAGTTAATTTTCCCGCATGAGCACTTTGTTTGCAGCACGACCGTAGGGAGTGCTGCATTTAGTGCGAATGCGGGAAAATTCTTTCCGAAAGAGTTAGGTACAATATTTTTTGTAACGAATTGCGTAAAAAAAGGTCAAAATTAATAAAGTTTTGTAAATTAGTTTTTTTTTAATCATGAGTTGGTAACACAATCATATGTTTGGTTGGTAACATAATTTTGTAACTACCATTGCACTGGTCACATTTAAAACTTCCACATCTTTGGTTTAATACATATTTTGCCTTTGCAATGAGTGCTACTACTGGTCACGGCATTGCATCGTTTGCACTGAATATCCTTGGAAGTCTTCAATGTTAACAAATATGCTTTGAAAAGAGTGCTCTTATTGGTCGCCTAAGTGTACTGATCGTATTTAATATTCCCAGAAGACATGTGTGAAGAAATGTGTTCTCAAATTTGATTTATCTTGAGTTGCGTAAATACACTCGTTACATTTAAAATCCTTGGAAGCTTTGTGTGTGTTAATATGTGCTTTCTTAAACTGCATAGGTATGCGAATAGTTGCAGAATATCACTGGTCACATTTTAAGACGTTTTAACAATAAATTTTACTTTTTCTTGAGTTCCAATTCTGAAAAATAATTTGATTGCGTTATAAGTTCTTGTTTATATATTTACGTAAAACTTAGTGTACGTCTGTTTCCGATTAATCGCACTAAATACCCTCAACCAACGGTTTAATTGATTTTACAGCAGATGACAGTTAACCATGACATGACGTTCGTTGACTTCAATAAGTACTACCAACCGAAGAACGCGCATAACCCCTTCTCTCCAGCGGAAACTAAAAAACACCGCGATGCGGGAAAGTCGTTTTCCCGTGCATCGAGGATGCTTGGAAACATTATCTTTCCATTCAATGAGTACAAAATTAGTTATTTACATAAAAGTCAGGAAATTTACACGTTACTGGCGAGGAAATATTGAAGTACAAGGGGGAGAGTACTTTAACTTCCGAGTCAAGTAATGTCATTGCCACCGTGGACGTAGAGAGGCGAGTCTACGAGAGAGCCCGAGCTATGCCGATCTCGCTTTGTCTCGTTCGGCACTGGTGTGCGAAAAAATGCGGGCCGTTTTTTTTTGTGAGACAGGCGAGCTGGAGCTATACCGAGTTCACCTTCGACTCACTCGGCATTAATATGAACATCGCATTTTGTAACGAGACCCGTATACCGGCCCCGAAATTCGGGCGACCGGTTGATTTATGCCGATCTCGTCTTCAGCTTGCTCGGCTCCAAATAGACAATTTCGGCAGAGCCTCACGTCCGTTCCTCATGATGAAATTTAAGGGTGAAGGAGTGAAGGGATCAAATTTTGAGGATATGAATGTCACCTCAACTTTTCACGGAGGATTCAATTCCGTCCAGAAACTTGACGGATCACAAAACATGCCGTGACCATCAAGTTCGTTTTACCATTATATTTTCCCCGATTTCGCATCACTTTACCTGCATAAAAAAACCGGTTTTGGTCTGGAACGAATTTTTTTAACTAAATTATTTTAGAGTCATTTAACCTGGATTAGGTATAAATGTTAGTTTAAT